CTGAGCTCAAACTTTATAAGGTTAACGGTAATGCACCCTCCTTTAGATTTCAAGCGCTTTTGTTGCCACAAACGAACACACTGCACAAATGACAACTGGAAGACTGTGCACAAACTCACTGCCAGTAGCCTGGTACAGTGGTTTTTCCAAAATGAAAAAGAATAGTGACATCATTTGAGCATTATTTTTGACAAGTCGTTTTGTTTACTTTGTTGAACACCGGATGACCCATTCTCCTCAAATATCAAGCACACATCAAGCATTGATCACACTGAAAAACACATCTGCGAATGATCAATTATTCAGAGATATCAAACTGAGTACTGTCTTTAAGGACATGACTACTGTCACTGGTGGTATCAATAAAATGAAAACTGTTGTACAGGCCTATTCGGAAACACTTTGGAAATTCATTACCAGTAGCTGTTGAGCTTATTTTTATAATTTCCACTGAAGTAATGAAAGTATTCCATCAGAACTTATTTTTATAATTTCCACTGAAGTAATGAAAGTATTCCATCATTTATTAAATATCATAAAATAGAGAAACTTACTTTCACTAATCAACTGCATTTAAGCTATATTTGATCCAAAGTTAGTCTCGGGACAGTTTGATGGCCAAAACCAACGTTAAAACTACAGTGGCTCGTCCGATGGAGTCATCCAATAGTCCAGAGTCAGTTACAGGTACATCCAGCGAGGTTATAATCCACAACTATGTACATGTATAATCCAACTCCTGATTTGGCATGTAGGAACAGGCTTGTTGGAACGGGGAGGAAGAGGGAGAAGGGAGGGAGTCATGCAGGCTCGTGTTCAGCAGGGAGGCACGGGCACCTTTCCTCTCAGGAAGCATTGCAGCAACTGACGGTGGGGCTGATCCTGACTGGCTAGCAAGGGCCCTTGCTGACCTCGCTCTGTTACCAGCAGGCAGCGATGACTAACTGTGCTTATGAATCCCCGTCACCCCCATCTGACGACGTGGATGCAGTGACGGGCCCCAAATGTTTTAAAGGGGCTTTCGATGATGAGTTGAGTGGGAGTGCTACGAAGCATGCCATGTTTACGAGGAAAAATGTATCATTTGCAAGGAGTCAGCTGTACACACGACAGTATGAAAAAAGTACCAGATGCACGGGATATCACTTACATGTAAATGTCCTTATACTGGATACATAATTGTTACATTCCTAATCTCCAACAACAGATCAAACTTAATTTTTTTTTTTGAATAAAAGAATAATAAAACTTTTAATAAAAGAAGTTCAGTTGAAGAAGATTCTTCCTCCAGCAAAGAGAAGTCATGGTTCTGGTATTTTCTCGACCCACTGGTCTGCTAACAGGCTGCAATCACAGGGGAGATACTCGCTAGTTAAATAATTTTGTTCCTGCATTGCGGGGATACACTTTTTCCAACCATATTTCATTCTTGAATTCTTTGCAATGTTCTACAGCACTTTTCTCATCATTTCGTCAAAAACAGCACAATGGGCTAATAAGTCAGTAGTTGTATTCCAAACTGATTTTTGTTGGCCCTGAATATGAACTTCTTTCTGTAGGGTTCCAAACTTCGCTTCATTTCAAAATTGTCACCATATACATGTAGCCTTGAAAACGGTGAATGTTCTTTGCTAATACTAAGTGGAATAATAAAGAACAAGAGTTCAAGGGATAGATACACGTATTTTATGCAAATCCACCAAACCAGTACCCACATGAAAACAAGGTGCTGATTTCAGACCCTCTTCCCACAAATAGTGTTCCCTTGTGTACCAATACTAACAGGGTTTATGGGTCATGGGAGGGGTTATTTGGTTCTTTTTTTGTTTTTTAATTGGGGGGTATACATGTACATGTACACTAAAACACGTACCCTTTCTTCAAAAATGAATTCAGGAATAGTGAGATGATAAGTGTTTATGCATGGATGAAAACTTATGTCCTCCGATGTCAAAATAGAAATCTTGAATAACAGCTGCCTGGGGGTGCCTTGTCTAACTAACTAGGATAACTTCTTCAAGCTGGATTTTTGAAGATGTTTTTCTGGACTGTTCCTGTTCATTTTGCCACAGATAACCTTGACTCCAAAATGCCTCTGAAATTGTTTTTCAGAGAGGGGAAAACATTGTGTGGACGTGTGCGAGTCCACACTACTCCATCGCACCCAACATTATGTGGACTTCTTTTGTGAAGAGGTCCACACTATGTATGCCACGCCTGCACACAAGCGTGTACACACACACCAACATCTGTATCCTTGTGGAGACAACGCTGTCTTCTCGCGTGCTCAAATACGGTACCTTGTGGAGACCTGTGGAGAACCAGGACAGCAAGATGAAAGGTTTCCACAAGACAATTCTTAAAGTATGTAAAGGTCTCCACAAGGATTTCCTGACGTAGATAATTGGAAATTACTCAAGCAGAGGAATTTTTAATGTGCAATTATCATTAGCGAATTGAAAAGTGCATTCGGTTGAAATTTCAACCCAGGAAAATAACTCTGGTTCAAATGAGAGCATTTTGAAAACAGCATTTATATTACACACAAGTATTTTAAACATGAGTTTCCCAGTGAAATAGGGCACAAACTACTGATCAAGCAAAAAACCTCCAAAAAATGCAAAAAATATGCGCATGGTCGACAATAGTGACCATGTTAAAATGTTAAGAGGCAATCCATAGAGTCCTCCTGCTCTTAGCAGTACAAGTCCGGTACCGGTACACGCTACAAGTCTGGGACTAAAAAAGAGACTCAAAACAATTAGTCCTATAACACCCCAACTATAGGCTGAGTTCGGGCGGCTTGTTCTCATATGTTCAGGAACAGCTCGATTTGTTGTTCGTGGGTCGGCCGCTCGAACGCCGGGAACAAACAACCGGTTACCGATGGTAGTTAGTGACAAGCAACATGCAACACAGCGGCGTCCATGTAGGCTACGTTATTCGAGAGTTTATGTCTGGATGGGCTGAATTCTTTTCTATATAAACAGGAACATTCATTTCTGTGTTACGGAAAATAATTAATGTTAATTTTGCAAAACTCCCCATTGTCTATGGCTTTGGAAGCCATCTCTCTACTTTTTCCAGCTGTTCAAAAATCAAATTCTCACGAGTTTTCCCATGTGTTCCTGTAAAACCCTGACGAGGAGGTGGTGTGTGATCCTGTTCCGAGAACAGTGTTCTTGAGTCGTGTTCCCGCCGTTCGAGCGAGAGAACAAGAAACCCGTGTCAAGAACAAGCCGCCCGAACTCGACCATAGTGTCAGTCCCAGTCCCAATTATACTTAGTGCTGCAGCTGGGCTGGCCCAACTATTGTCGGCCAATATAATTTCTCTGCCCTTCTCAAAGTTTATACAGTTCACACCTGACATAAATTCATCTAAAATATGGCATTTCATCTGCTAAACCTCTTTTCTATAAGCAAGAGTTGTTGATGTAACAAAATGACTTTGGCACATGCTATGGAACATGCACACACTGGACCCCTGTGCTGTAGTTGGGCTGGCCCAACAACTATAGCACTATTGTATAGGCCTGGTTGGGACGCATCCCAATATACACAGTTCGAACAGTCCCAACTACATGTACATGTATAGGTCTACATGGCCTAGTTGGGGCGTAACATTCCCAAGCTGATTCACTGGACTTTTTTCAATAAAAATCAAGATGCAATGGACATTGTGGAAATTGACCAAATCACTTTTGCAGGTTTAATTTTTTAAGGCGTATGTAAATTTCGTGACCCCTTCCCTATACAGAAGGAAGAATTAGATTAAACTTTCAGACTCACCAAACTAGATGGCAATGACATAAATTTGTCAACTGCAGGGTTCATTTTGTAGAAAGAAGGCAAGGTAGATTTTTAAGGGAAATCATGAGGTAAAAACAACATCGACACAAAAATGGCACGCACACATCCACTGAAAATAAACATGGCGATAATGTCAAAACGTGCCTGGTAGAGTGTCTCTCATTGGTACATGAAAAGTTTCAGGAGAAAGCTGAGCTCTGATTGGTCGAGCTGATTAGGAATGAGGGTATTGAAGGTAACACCCAGACCGTACACATATGCGTCCACATGGCAATATTATACAGAGAAATATGGAAGGGCTGCGTAGCACCATGAGCAGAATATTGACAAGAACATCAGCTCTACTTAGCTCTTCTGATACTGACTGAGTGGAGCGTTAGTATTCCTCTTTTTCAAATTTTGGAGACGTAGGCCTATGACCGATCCCGTCCAAAATTCGAAAAAGAGCCTACAATTAACGCTCCACTCTGTAGAGATGGGCCTAAGCCTAATTACCGTCGTACTCGGGCCTCCCGGTGCATCAGTTAAAGCCCACGGTTGAATCGTAGACCATGTGAGGAGAATTTTTTTAGTTTTAATGAAACCGAAACTGAGAGGTTCAGCCGTCGAAACTGAAACAAAAACTTTCGAGTGAGTTTCACCTGTGCTGTGCTTCAGCAACTCACTAGTACGCTCGGATACTTAGTCGGGCCCCGAATGCATGATGACGGGACAGCGTACGGTTCCATTCATTAGTCACGGGATTGTGACTTATGCAGGTGTCAATGTCAACTTCATTTCAGTCAGGTGCTGCAGTCTTGTCGCGGTTTTTGAAACCATACTGCTGGATTCCCAGCCAGTGTCCGAAGTATTGGCTGCGGCTGACAATAACACGTGCCTTAATGGTAAAAATGGTTTCGGCAGCCAGCTGCCGGCTTCTACACAATAATGTACCGGTACCATTACTAACAGCCTTAGCCAAATAATCCGGTTACAGTATCGCACGCATGAGTGAGGCACCACCCCCTCCAGCGGTATAAACCTAGTTGGTATACAAGCGGTACGGTGACTTAGGCATATCCCAAATTTGCCCGCTGTTGGAGACTAACATTTTTTATATATTGGGATTGGGATCATAGCATGAAACTGTTAGGCAGGGTTGCAAAAACATTAATCGACAGTTTCTCGGTCGAATATGCTCCACCCTAGGAGTTATATGCATGCATGAACAACGTAACTGTCCTTGGTCAAAAAGTGGCAGGACAAAGCAGTCAAGCCCCAGGCTACAGGGAAATGATAGGGCGTGGTGGCAAGGACTGCATGTGAATAGAGATCATACATGTCTCGGCTTTCTCGAGATTAGCTCAGATAAGTAGCGTAGCGGGAGATGCTTTGAATATATAAGCGCTAAATTTGAACGAGAGATTTCCACTTTCTCTTCTTCACTTGTAACATAAAGCTAGTTCCATCTATGCATGTAGTTAACTTCAAGACTGAATTTTGTCTTTTTCTCTCGACGGAAAGGCAAGACTAATAATTCCAATCATAATTATGCAACTAGATGAGCATAAATCCGAATTATCGTGGAAGAATTGTCATGGTAACACCACTTGACAAAAGTTGAAGTGTGCCGAGTTCAAGAATATAATTTTTCACCACAATTTTTCCAATAAACTTATGAACTATGCAATCATCGAGGAGCGGGTTCGCTGTTTTAAACAGACTTAATTATATTTCCCACTAAATACCAAGATATTATCATTGTATCGATAATATTTTCATTTGATGAGTAGAATAGAACTGTAAGTCGGGCAAAAGCCCCAACCGTCACTTTCCCCAACTTTGATTTAAAAAGCACGTCCGTTGAAACAAAGACTACGTGCTTTGAAATGGCCAACAAATTTCGGCTCCGTCTACAGTGGAATGTGCTCCAATTTTGGTCTTTTGTTCCAAGTTTCTAATTTAATGCCAAAACACATTTCGGCCCTATTCCGAATATGGTCATTTCTCTGTAAAAGTCTCGTTTGCTGACAGAGGGAGGGGGTATACAGTCGGATCGGATGTTGAAAAAAAATCAAACAGGCTAGGACACAGCTAAGAAATCAAACAAGATCACACTAAAACAAAGAACACAGAAACCAGGTGATTTCATTATGAGAACTATTTAATACTTCAACTTTCCATAAAGGGTTTAACAAAGTATACAGAGGTTAGGTTATACTACAGTACAAAGAAGAAAGATCCAATACATGTATAACATAGAATATTAACGAGGCTTGGGCAGGCTCTAAACGAACTCTACAGACGGTGGTGGTTCTTTGATGGTGGAAATAAGGCAAAACCCAGAGCAAATTCACCTCCAACGAAAGGCCGGAAGCGGACAGAACAACAAGGCACGCAAGCTGGTTCCCAATGTTAAAATGTGGGGAATAATCCCCAAAATGCTAAACTGTAAACTCGGTTTAAAAAATGTCGCTTCCGGAATTAGATTCAGCTCTCAAGAACCTCGTCGATCAAGATGAACTTTTCCAATCGCTCCATGAACGGACGAGCCGGAACGGACGGGTCCAGCCAAAGGGTTTGTGTTTGGCAGCCATTTTTGTTCCACAGGGAGTAGACCATTAATGCAATCCCTCCGTAACAAAAGCAGTTACCAGAAAGATGGCTGCCTTGCACTAACCTCTATACAGACTTCTCGACGTCCCGATCAAGTTTCATAGTCCCGTATTAGTCCATTCCTCATGGTTATGTAGTTTTCCCGATTTGCCAAAAGTTTCTGTACTCGAAGTCTTAAGTTTCTACACACTTTTTACAGTTACATAAGTTTCTAAAAGTAAACGCCAGAAAAGTCTGATATAGTGTACAAAAGAAAGTTCCAGGCACTCACAGCTTCTGTCTCTTAGGGTCAAACGCGGGTCAGGCTCGTGAGAGGCAATGGATGACTGTGGCGTAGGCTAGCCCGTTTCGGATACATTCATATCTCCCATCCCCTGCATTGCCACATTTGGGAATTCTTTCTATGAATCTGAGGGCCATTCTCTATTTTTCCCAAGCCATTTTGCGTGCAGGCCTCACCCAAGCTGCTCTTCTGAAAAACAGCCTTGTGATGGATCATAATTTTCGAAGACTAACGGCATGCGCCATCGATGTCTACCTTGTTTGCCGTTTGGAGAGGCAAGGCCGACGTCAGATAATCAGGCCAATCAGAAATATAATCAGACAATGCTTCACTTACAGATTTTTCTTTACAATGGTAAAAGTTTTCATCCCGCCAAGTGCATAGTTTGACCACATAAACCCTTTAAAGTATGGTTCCTGAGCAAATAATTTCCCGTCTTTCTCGGGGTATTTTCATTTATCGCAAGTTGTAGTTATGGTTTAAAGCCCAAACAGTCCCAAATCCTCCGATTTCAATATGATTTTTACATACACCCTAGGTTACAGAAGACACTATTTTCTTGATGATGTTTTCTTTATTTCAATCAAAATGTTCGTGCCATCGGCTATACCCGTTAAACGAAGACTTTGTTTACGTATGTGATTTCCTGTGGCCCTATAAGTGGACAATAGCCCCCAATCCACCGGCTTCATAGGAAAGTGTACGCCAACAAAGTCATTGGTACATACAGGTCTATCAAATTAATAGACGTTTTTAGTATCCCAAAGACAGTATAACCTCAATTTCAACCATCTGAAATAGTAACAGCGAGCTCTCTGCATACAAACAGCATGGTAGATTGGTGTCATGCAGCAGATGTACGTCATGACGAGTTCCGTCGATCGATTACCCACTCCGCAAACAGCGCCACCACCGGCAGGACTGCTATACATCCCATAGAAACAAAAGCTTTGTCATAGCTTCCTGTCTTGTCAAATATCAAACCTGAAAAAAAAAGAAAAAATCATTACTGCAAATAATGAAAACTGATGCGAAAAAATACCTTAAGGCTGGCCAAAAGTTGACGCACAAATAAAACCAAAAGGCAAACATGTAACGGCCGATCAAAATTCGCGATGCAAAACTGCAAGCGTTAGAAGCACGTTTCGACTCGAGCGAAATTTTGCTGCAAATCTTTCGTGACATCGCTTCGCGTTCACATTCGGCTGGGAGTATGAACCGGCCCTTCAGGCTGCGATTTGGCACTGGCTCATGAGCGACACCGCATCTTTCGGCTGTTCACACTTGGCACGAAAGCGCCCACGAACGCAATTTTGTGACGCCAGACTGGATTATTCGAACGCGAATTTTGCAAAAGTCGCCCGTATAAGGCGCAGTGAGCTCACGAAACATTATTATCCCTTAACCAAATTTTACTTTTGGGTTATATTTATGTATGTGAACAAAAGATTGCAGAGTAATTCAGGGGGAATAAATAGTAGCTGTTCTGCGTGACTTGCACATTTGTGCAAGCGTGCCTTTAACTCTCATAATTTTACATAAATGTTTAAACCAGATGTTTTTTAACATCGTACTTTCAGTTCAATTTCCAATTCTTGGGAATTTCCATGAATAAGTTGAACACAATCTTCGGTTAGCTGCCAAGGGCCACAAATACAGCAACGGCACAAGTGTAACGTGATCAGGAGGCCGAGGCAACAGTGTACCCAAAAATTAAAATCATTAAAAAAAAAGCAAAGCAAGAAAAAAAAAAAAGGAAAAATCGTTTCTCGTATAATATGATCCAGATAAAATATTGTTCTCTGGAGCTGTGTAAAAAAAACGTAGACATCCGCAAATTATACAAAATTCTACTTGCATTTTCAGCAAGTTCAACTCTTACAGAATTGTTGATTCATTTCAAAACTTCTTTTTGTTCAAACGTCACAATTTGACGAACAAAGAAGCCTCGAATTCATCGAATTCATCCTACCTGGGAAAAATCCTAGTGAAAGGTGAAAGGCGGACGAGACCAGGTCTATCCAACTGAACACGTAAACTAGCTTCTTAGTTCCGAGCATTTCCCGCGTGTACATGTCCCCCAACCCGCTGATGGCCCCGTTCAAACCGTTGAAGACAAAGGAATTGACGGCCATGGACCAGAAGGAGTTCGTCCAGGGAAGCACCAGAAGAGCCAAGGAATTGGGTACCATCATGACTAGCATGGCCGCTCGTATCTTGAGTAAACCTCGGTCTATGACCGGGCCCAGGCCGATCTTGAAAACCAGGTTTCCTATCCCCCCGAATGTAACGAACGTCACCGCCTCGTAATCGGAGAAACCTTTCGTCTCCGCGTACGAAACGAAGTAAATCAGCCACAAACCGTCGTTGAAGAAACTGCACGTCCACACCACTGCTGCGATCCAGAATTTGGCCTGACAACAAACCGAACATCCCAGCAGATTCCACTGACTCACGATAGCGTCCTTCAGACTTCGAAGTAGAGATTTCTTCTCCGCGTCGGGATCTGATTCGTCGAGCGGGGCTTCCGAGCCCCCCGAGGAGGCGATCGGTTGGTAGCTGTCTTCCGCTGCTGCTGGTGGTGGTGATCTGAGTAGGCAGCAACACACGCCGAGATGCAGGGCGAGGGCTCCAAGCAGCATCAAGGCTCCTCTCCAGCCGTAGGTGTTGAGAAGCAGCTGGGCCAAGGGTGCAAATAGTATCATACCCACGGAGTGTCCTGAGGTTCCAATACCACTAGCAGTGGCATAGTCGTCGGTGAAATAACGTGCCATCGTCGCTCTCGTCAAAACGTTGGTGATGCTTAGGCCAGGCCCTGAAAAAAATTCCATATAAAACATACCCTGTTAGGACGGTGATGTCAATGTTGTCCATCGGCCATCGGTTGTGCTGCAGTCCTGCTGTCTTTTAAAAAATTATCATGACACTCCATTGGAACAGTGGGCTGAATTTAATTCCATGTCGTTCGAAAGTTCTTTTCATCTGTCAATATCTGCTGCTGCGGCGCGGTCGCCATTCTGGGGAGGGGGACTTATAAAGCCATCTGTTTTCTTTGGTTCTCGCAAAATTTCGGGGGGGCGGAGAGGCGACGATATTTTTAGTCGCGCCACTCATTTGTTGTCGTAACGAAGTGTAGATAAAGGCATCAAGTCGGCAATAGTATGCCTAAAATGAGAGTGCAGGCCAAGATGAACTCTTCTCGTGGTGTGTGTCGCAGCCTGTACTCGGCGTAGAAGACTTTTGAATATTATCGTCAAATAATACTGAATTTTAAACCAAAAAAGGAAACAGTCTTTGCCTCCAGTAAAAACTCAAAGTACAGTGAAATCTCTCCACGAGCATAAGTTCACAAAAATATCTGGCACACGCATAGCAGTATCGTTTTGAGTTGCACACGGGATGATATTAATTTTGAAGAATTTCTACAGGGGAGCCTATGACACGTTGGAATACCTGCGAGTAAAGATAGGATGAACGTCATCTGAATAACACTAGTAGAGAACGACGCGAGAATCATGGATATCCCGACAAGGAAACCGCTGACGATGGCCACAGCACGGGTACCAAACGCGGCTTCAAGTGGCCCAGACAGTAGACCTGCAAAGCAAACAATCATTTTCATAGAAATTGTCAATCATTTCTACTCAAAATGTCATTACTAGGTTTTGCTGAATGTTCCGTTTTTACAGACACGCATTATGTAGACACACACGAAGCAAAACTTAAAATAACTTTGTGTTTCATAAGTGGGAAGTTTGTTCTGCTAATCGAGCCATTATTTCGGATGTCAACAGTGCTATCTTGACGGCCTTTCTTTGAAACAGTTTAACTTATTTTGCGGGGAAGTTATGGTTTAAGGTTGAATTAACCATGCAGTGTTTGTAGTTAGGTTCAATATTTTAATCCCAAAAAGGTTCCTGGAGAATCATTCGCTGTTCCCTTTTTTGCCCCAAGCCAGCCGCAAAACCTGCTGGTGAGCTGCTCGTGGAAAGTTGTGTAAAATGGAACAAGAAGGACATGGCCGAGGTCGAGCCGCAGGAATCCAGAAGAGAGGTCGACAAGAAGAGCGAGGAGAAGAAATGATCGCCTTGATTACGTCTGAAGCAGTATGTGACGCTTGCATATTTTGTTTTTGTTGCAAGAAGAGTGAAAGCAGAAATTAAGAAAGGGGAAAATACTTTTGAGATTTGTATGAAGTCTTAATTTCCTGACGTTTGTCAAAAGGTGTTGGTGATCTGTTGGCAGTTTATGCCATTTGACGGGCGCGGTAGTGTGAGCTTCTGTGAAACGTTTCTTTCAATTTGGACGCTGACCGTCAAAAATCATGTGACTGAAACTCCTCTATGAACTATCTGAACTACCATTTGGGACCACATCAGGCCCCACGGCATGGTCGCACCGCTGGCTAACAATATCCGATTACAGAGGAAACCATTCACACGAAAATAATTAGGCCTGCATGTGTATGAGATTTCAATGACCATGTGCGTTGCGAGATTCGCAGCCAACGGTGAAAAGTGCTGGGTGCACATTATGCATAAAAAACATTTTAACAATAAAGTACTCGTGTTAATGTAGGGGTCTGGGGATTCCAAGGTGAGATAATTACCTTTGATGTGAATATATGAACTCTGACCTACCCGTCTCTGGCACTAGATCAATGCATAGGTATAGGCCTAAGGGGCCCAGCATAAATACATGTACACGTATAGCAGCGTGTGCAATGCGTGCACTGAATGGGTTGTATCTAGGCTGGATCGTGGTATGCGGAAATAGACGTTATGGTTCAAGGCGCAATTGGATGATGTAACTTTGTAAGGGCTTTGTATGAGGATAGGCTCAGATGACACATTCATGGAACTAAATTATAATAACAAAAAAGCCTCCAACGACCAGCAGTGCGTATACAAAGCATTCAAATAGCGATTCATTCATAGGAAAGCAGGTTAGAGAGGAATTGTGATGCGCCTATGGAAAAGTTTGGTTCGACCCGAAGAATCAAAATTTTCCGTCTACAAGCAGAAAATGAAGTGAAAGTTAAGAACTTTTTCAGAGTTTTCACTTTCCAGGGACGGACAGAAATTACCCAGTTAGAATCAATATATATAAAGAGAACTAAGCCTCAAGGACAGTTTATACATCATCGGACTCTCGTCCAATTTTTATGACTTTAAGCATGAGAATGAGATCGAGACAGGCATGCCGACATTTTCTGATGTCGCTGCAAACGCTGTATATAAATATCGCAGTGTACGACACATGATACGTCAGCGAGAGAGTCGCATTTACAATTCAGCCAAACTTTAAGTGGAAGTGTGCTACGTGGGACATCACTCATTTTTCCCCACAGGCTTTTATCAGCAATCAAAAGTGAAAGTATACCTTAAAAAGTCAAATTTAAATGTGAGAATATCGAAGCATTTATGGAATTTTGTTCCGACCAGTATGATAGGGCTTGTGCGCATGGTGTCAAGCGGTGTGTGTATGGAACCCTTTCCTTTTCACGTTTTTAACTGTGAAGTTAGTCTGAGTTATTGATTACGTTTGAGGTTTTGTTAAAGATGATCAGTACCACACTTAGACAAGTGTTTCCCCCATGATTCTGAGCCTGTTGGATGATGTTAGCACGCGCCTTTCACGGTTTGGTCCAAAGAGAACGGTCAACCAAGATATCACTTGATGGACGACAATGTGATCTCAAAGGTGGGACTAAGCGGGGCGGAATAAAACCATAAGACACCCAACCACACCCACCCACCAAACCCGACTCACTCCAACTCACTGATCTCTATACACTGGATAGGCAGCTCTGCTCTGCGAATTGAAGCGACTGCGAGGCTATCTTAGGCTATCCATTACAATGGCGTTTTCCAAGTCCCCGACTTTAGCCTAGGCCTTGCATGAATGCAATTTACTGAAAGGACTGAAGTTGGCTATAGGCCATCGTATTGAATATCCTAAGATGGCCGCGCAGTCGCCTCAATTCTAGGCAGTTACTGCTGAGCTGCCTATCCAGTGTATGGAGTACTCCAACCCACCCCGACTCACTTCAACCCAACCCGACCTAACCCAATCTATGCCACGTCAACCAATATAAACCCCTAGAACTCAGTCATGTAAACTGTACATGGGCCATATCTCATCTTCAGGAAATACGATATGAAATCATTCAAGTGATGCGCCAAACACGTTCGCTGACTCCACTTTCCCTTCTTGTTCAAAGTCTATGCCATCTGGTCAATACCTTTTAGGGTTAATGAACTGCATTTGCTGTAGCCTACATTTTATATTACATTTGTTGGGCCTTTTCCTTCCTCCAAGGTTGGGCCAAGGAATGAATCATTTGCGTGTCATAAATTGTCTTAAAAAGTTCATTACTTCAAGCTAAGCTGGCCATTTCTTCACTGAATTTAGTTGATATCCGATATGGTTACCACTTTCTACTGTACATTTATTAAAAAACATGGGATTTGGCAGAGTAACTGTCACAGAGTGAAAGCATACCTGCAAAACTAGAGACGCCATTGATGGTTGATATTAACGCACCGATCATCCACGTCTCGGCAGCGAATTGTACCCGGAGTGTCGGCAACATCACCCCCAGACCCTTGACGACCCCTGTCCAGAGCAGCCAGTCGGCATGAAGGCAGAGAACCGCATACCAGCCTCGATGACAGCCCCTACACATGTTTTGAACCATAATACAGGGTTCGTTCCGGCGACGACGTTGCGAGATCAACCCACTTCGTGTTAAACCTCCACGATAACAGTATGTTAACTGTAACCGCGATATATCCCGCTACTTTTATAAGCACGAAACCAGCTCAAGTCTTCTGAAGTATCTAGTGGACAAAAATGCACCGTAACTGCTTTTGATCACTGCTCAAAAAAGTATGCATGTGCCTACATGACCAATGTTTACAGGCCTACATGTATATGCCAACATAATCTATAAGCTGATCGGCAATAAGTTCCAAACTATACTAGTGGCAAAAACTCCACAGCTCCACCTGCACTCAACAGGCTGTTGTGCAACGTCGTGTGGAATTT